TCAGACATGGGGAGTAGAGGTAGAATGAGCCATGGATTTTTGTACTAAAATTCATTGTAGTAAAGAGGGAAAAGAGGCTTCTACTAGCTGGGATAAGGTGTTAAATGTTTTACTTAGGATGTCAGAGGAAATTTGACAGGTGAAATTGAATCTACTTATTCCAAATCTCATTCTCATGCCTTCACTAGCAGACAACCTTTCACTTTTCAGTTGCCTCCTTCCATTTTCCCAATATGTCTATATTGACAGTAAAGTGTTCATTGGAATGCAGAAGGAGACCTAACAGGACTGGAACTCCCTTGCTTATTAAAACTACCCATGGTAAAACAGTGGGATGAATGCCCCTTTCTGTCGATATCAGGACCATTTCTGACCAGAGACCAAGGAATGGAAGCTGTTGCAATAGCTCTTATCAAGTGCTCCCCTTGGCAACAGAGATTCTCAGCTGCAAAGTGCTTTGCATTATTGATATGGTACAGCACAACCTTAACAAATCGGGTATCTTGTCTTTTATGCTTATATATATTTATATCTGCAGATTTAGTTGTGGCTCTTTTTTTAAACTGAAGCACGAAAATAACGTTGCTCTTAAAGAAATCTTAATTTTCTGTAATATAGTCTTAGTGAAGTCCTTTGCCTCAGAGTCTCTTGTGTTTAATTGAAAATTCTCTTTTGGTCCTGATGTCTGTTCCATGTTCCCACATTCTAGTAAAAGGGCAGAAAGGGTCAGTATTGAGCAGCAGCAGTAGAAGAAGAAATGGGGGGGGGAAGAAGAATCCTGAGTACTTGGCTAGAATACTGCCTTTAAAATTCAACACTTAGAATCCCACCTGCAGAACAGCAGTAGTCATCTCTATATGTAGTACTTCACAAAAGCTTTCTAAACGTTTTTGTAAAATTAAAAAATATATTTTACCAGGTCGATCTTGCATTTGGATGACTAAATGTTGGCTTGTGATGAGGCTGTGCTGATTTATTTTCATCAAAACACATTCACAGTTTGCAAATGTAATCATAAAGCGCCTATTCAAATGATATATTAGAAGGAAGAGGAGTGCAATGGGTGTGTCAATCTGCTATTTTTGACAATAACATATAAACTTAATGAGTTACCCAGGATGAAAAAACTTCAAGAATTGCCAAGGAAATGGGTTCTTTCACCAGCTTAAACAAAAAATTTGAACAGGAATAATGTAGAAGTATCTTTATTGTACCTCGATTTTCTATCTGTGGATGACATTCATAGCACTAACTTGGGCTATTTCCACAATAAGATTTGGAGAAGAAAGTTGGAAATTACCAGAACTTAGAGAATTACATCTGCAAAGATGACAGGTGTATGAAATGGAGAGAATGTTTGATAAAAGGAAGGATTTGTCAGAGTTGAACAACTTTTAATTTCCAGAGAAGGTGGAAGTATTTGAGAATTGTTAGGATAAAACCTAGAGTCTGCAGTAGTGGTTTTTGACTGAAACAAGCTATTAAAAATATTTTGTTCATCCAAAAATACTTTAAGAGCCTTCAATTTTCTTTCTAAAGATGGAGAGGGCACAGAGTAGCTGTCTAAGGCAGTAACAGGAAAATTCCTGTGTGCAGTTAGCCAGGTGTGATAGCGCTGAAAGGGGTCACCTCCAGCTCCACAGGAGCAGAGCTGTAGACAATCAGATGGCATCGAGCTCCACCTACTGCAGTATTGCTGTAGTTCATTTCACCTAGAGCTGCTGGATGTGATCTCAAGAAAAATGACTGTAATCATTTTAATGGAAAACTTTTGAATCATTTCCTCTTGTCATCTCCCTTTAGATGATGTTTCATATATTACTTTATGGTTTTTTCTTTTTAAAATTATTGTTCCTTACATATGGAGTTGTATGAGATTTTGTTACATCATTGTAATGAAAGCAGGAAACAATCACTGAAACAGGCCTTTTGATGGCTTAAAAGGAAATTAGATGAACTATGATGAAAGCCTCCATAAGCTGGAAACACTAAAAAAACCCAAATACTCAAACTCCAAAGATTGTTCAGGTTGTCATGATAATATATGGTCAAGTTTAACAAATTAGACATACCGGTATTGTTTTCTCTCAGTTTTTTGGTATCGGCCCTGCAAATTAAAAAGTTAGAGTTCTACTGTTCTGTAACTATGTATTGTTACCTTTTTAAGCTCAGATTGTGCCTTTTCAATACATGACGTAGTAATGAAAGATAAAGTTGTAGAAAACTAAGATTCCCTTCTGTTTTCTGTGATAAGGCAGGTTGAATCACATTATCAGTGCCTGAGTGGAGGAGGTGGTGTATGTGACACCTCCCTCCCTGAGCAACTGTGCAAAGGTTAGGTAGGTTCATAGCTCTCTCATTTCCTCGTGAGCTGGCTGGAGAGAGGTATGATGCAGGGAAATATTGTACTTGAGAACTTTTCTTCAGTGCTCTGTGGCATTAGACACATGAATCTAGCTGAATGGTTCCTTAACCTATACTAGTGGTCAGTGTACTGGTGCTTTCAAGCCATTGAAACCTTAGGGCTACACATCCCACCCCTCTCCTTCCCTTGAGTAGTAAATTATTCTGAGAGATTCTCAATTGGTTTTAATCGTGTTATTCAGGGTATCGTCAACTGTAAAAGCAATGGTACCTGGCCATTGTCAACATTTTGCTGCTTCTGCAAAAAAAAGTGTCAATGGCAAAGTGTACTGGAAATACTGCTGTTCCTGGAGTGTAAGATGCTTCTGCTCCAAGTCCAAATCAGGTTTGTGGGTTTTTTTCTAGCTTTCTCTTTGAATACAGATAATGTGTGCAACTTTAAAAAAAGTCTCACCAGCATCAGTCTGCTGTGTGCTATTACTGTAGCAGGGAAGATGAGAAAACTGACAAAATTTCACAGTTTTTGGGCTTGTTGTGCTATGGGATGATGGTGTGGTGGCTAGCATTACCGATTACAAATAGATGTGCAATGCACAGAATGTAGCCATATGGAAATAGTAGCAGAAAAGGAGAAAGAAGACTGAAGGATGCCCAAATACTTAGCATTTCTTGGGTTTTTCATTGTACTCTCAAAAAAATGTATGCCCTCATACAAATTAAATACTGCCCAAAATGTGAGAAATTTTCCAATTTTAAAACCAAACTGCTTCTGAATTAGCTTCTCTGAAGGTGATTCACCTACAAAATCCTCAATTCCGTCCATCTGGTACTTTTCTACCTTTGAGAATACTTGGAAATTTAGAAGGGCAAATCAGAGGAGATAAATCACTGTTTGTCTTTTAGCATTATTTATATTCTGGATAGATCATTTGTGTTCATGAATGTGCAGGAATGTAGTTACAAATTTATGCTGGAAATTATTTTTTTAAAGTGTTTTGTTTGGCAACTTATTTCTAAAATCCAGTCTACTTTTGAAAGTCTGTTTTCACAGATAAAGATATTTAATATTCAGAATCTGCTTCTTACTACAAGTAGTCAAAATAAATAACCTTTATCTTTGGAAAAAATATACCAAATATTGACAAAGTTTTGTTAATTACAAATGCTTAAATTTTATTTTCCCTCAAGTTCAGTGTAACAGTCTCCATACTGAATGCATACTCATCCCCAGTAATCTCTGATCAACATTTCCTGTAGATGAAGTATGGGTGCCCACTCAAGGTTTAGAATGATTCCTCTCTCGTTCTTTGTGTGAATGTGGTTTTCTCAATCACCAAGGTGGGCTCTCTGTGTTGGTAGCTCTCTGTAAGATTTGTGCTTCTGAGCCATGTCAATCTGCTGTCTGTCTCTGCTGCTGAAAAATCTTGGTCAAGTGCACTCCAACTGCATGAAACAGTGGAGCCTTTGGACTTCTCTGACATTTCTGTAGTTCATCCTTATACTCTGCCTGCAGAAAATCAAAACTGCTACTTTACTCTTAGTACCATTTCTGGATTTGGGGTGGGTTGTTTGTTTGTTTGTTTCCCCAGTTTTCTATTTGTTTTAGGGCTGCCTCACTCATTACAGGAACACATCGGTGTTTGCAGTTCTCCAGAGGGTAAAGATACTGTTCCTTATGCTTTTAACCTCTGTTCTGCTGAAATGTTACGCAGAAACATAAATTTGGAAATAATTTTGTCTTTGAGTGAAGATTCCAACAAGCAAAATGCTCTGCTTCAATTTTCTTTTTAATATTTCCAGGCTTTGTTCTGTTGTGCAAAAGCTATATACAACATAGCATGTATTTCATCCACAGCTGAGTCTGCTGTGCAGCCATTTTTGTGCATTAGCTCTACCTTGACTATATGGATGCAACTTGCTAGGGCCTCAAGCTTTGCTTTGCTTGGAATCAATAAATGAGCTCTTTGATCTAAAACTAGTGCAGAAAGGAATTACTCTTTTCATATCCTTTGAGCCTGAGCATGATACTCTGCTGAGTGATCTAAAGTCTTTTATTAACCTGCCTATACAATTTCTTTTTATAGGAGGGAATATGTCTTCCTTCCACTTGAATAAACCGATGGTTGAAGGACTAAAAGTATGCTTGTGTTTGACTTCAAGGCTTTTTGTGAGTCTGTGCCTTCCTTGTGGGTGAAAGCACAGACCCAAGAATAGTGGTCTATGATAGTGTGTATCTTCAGGGAAAAGCAGCTACAGATAAGTAATTTCCTATTCCTGGTTCTGGAAATTGGATTTCTATTTATGTTAGACACACTAGCCTATATAACAGTCTTCTAAGAGAAAAGTTACATTTTCTAAGCATTTAAGCATAGTAGTTTACAAAGTGTGTATGCATTTTGCACTGTAGCTTGTCAGCAGGTACTTCATATGAGAATCTACTTGTGCACCAAAATTATTTAGTGACATTTTAAGTTTTTCCTACAATAGACTAGACTTTATTTTTGCTTTAGTTTGCATCTCTGTAGAAAAATTTATTTTCACCACTTAATTTTGAAAATTATGATCTGCTACAGGTCATAATGGTAGGTAACTATCAGTATTTCAAATATGGTTACGTATTTTTGTTCATTTTTTAGGAACCAGTGAAAAAAGATGTGCAGGAAAAACCACCCCAAGAAGTGACTGAGGTTACTACTGACAAGTACTCTTTCAGTCCAGAGGTGAGACTACTGGTGAAGCTTTCATTCCAGATGGAGTTAAAGGAGGCAACAGACAAACATATTTTAATTATTCATATAATTAATTCTGCTTGCTGAATTCAAGGTTTAAAGCCTTACTGTACATAAGGAACCAGCCTTTTGCTGACTGATGAACATTTCATAGGTTTTATCTAGTAAAACTCCTCCTGAAGGTATCGGGGAAAAATCACTGACGAGTGAGATATAGGGTTCTATTGTAATTTGGTAAAAATAGTCTTCTGAAAATTCAATTTAGCTGTGTTAGTTATTCCATGCATCAATTCTAGAAGGCTGACCTTTAAACTGTATTACAGTTTAGCACAGAAATGGCTAATATGTTAAAAACTACTTTTTTATTTCAAAAATTCATATTTTGATTAAAGTATGTAGGTCAATATTGCACATCCTTAGATCTCAAAAACCTAAAGCTGAAAGGGCTGTTCCTATGGGTGCTATGTAGAGCTGCACAAATTAACAGTTGTTCAAGATCTCGCCTATGATCAGTTTTTTACCTTTGCCTGGTGGGACTTTAACCTACAATTTTAAATATTGAAAGGCCTGGAGATAATTTTATTTAAATGCCACTTTTTGGTCAGTACAGAACAGTTACAGTGGCGAGTCTGTTCTAGTTCATCCAAGGCAACCCAGGTGTACTCTCTATTTGATGTGTACTTAGGCCCATCATACAGCAATGCAGACTTACAGCATAGTGTGACGCTCTATCCCAAAGCAATTCAAGCTTTGTAAATATAAGTAAAATGTTGTAATTAAACACATTTTAATTTCTGTGTACATTTATGAATTTACCTAAATTTTATTTGGCAATCCAGAAAAAATACTTAACTTTTCATCCATGTTGTCTTTGTTAGCTTATTTAAAATCTGATCCATCTCCTTTCTCTTTGGAACAAAAATTAATACCAGGCAGCTGATTTGATCATAATTTTTTATAAAAGAATCAAATGTAAAATGTAAACAAAGAAAGGATGGTACATTTGCAATTACATGAAAACTGACAACTAACACGATTTTTTTAAATTCTTTTTTTAGTTTTTTCTTCCAGAAAGTAAGCACAAGTGTTAGCCTGACTTCAGCATCCAGTAATATCTTGCCTCTCACAACACAGTATTTAATTCCCTTTTTTATCTAACTCAAATCAGTCAGATTTGTTGGAAGCTAACAAACTTGAAAAGTAAGATGTGCTGTAGAAGTCCTGCTAAGAGGTGCAGCAGTGCCAGCTGTTTTACTGGCAGAAGTACTCTGGCTTGAATACCAGAAACATTCTACCAACCCATTCATTTATTGATTTTTCTCTTTTCAATTCTCATTTACAATTATTATTTTTATCTATACATCTCATTAAAAATAAGTCTTTTGTTTGCACTTTCAAGAATGTTCTCTTAAAAACATACGAAGAAAGGGTGAAGTATGCAGCTCAATCTTATAGAAGCTGTTGTCCATGCAGAGCATCAATTGTTTCAGCAATCAAAAACAGTACACTCAGATGTGCATAAGTATTTGAAATATGAGTTGCAGGCGAGCATTTTCTCTACAGATCTGAGATCTGCGATATCCTACTGCATATTTTCCCAGGTGCATAATAAAGGATTGTCTTTATTTCCTTTAGAGAGAATTTATTTTTCTGGACACCTTAGGACACTTATGAAATGCATGGAACTGCCTCAAGTCTCTGCACACCAGCACTATGCTTAGGCTGCACCTCAGTCTCTGCACACCAGCACTATGCTTCCCAATGGACAGCAATCTAGCAGTGCTCCTTTTGCACATTAAGCACTGCCTCAGCTGCATATTTTATTGCCCAACAGATGTGAAAACACTGAGTATGCACAATATGCAATCATAATTCTATGAAATCAATGCAGCTGTTCTCTGGAAACCCCAAAGGTTATTCTAAGCCAGGGCTAGTTCAACAACAAATATAAGCTTTCATCTCCCGTGTATTTCTGTTCCATAGCTGCTCAGAAGAAAAAATGTTGCAGGCATTTTGAACAATGTACTAAGTACATGATTTTAATTCCCTTGTGTAAAATTGCTGACCTGGTTTGTACACTCTTAAAAGATGAAAAGAAAATAACAAAACCATTATGTTCTGTGCTCCAAAACCAGCTGTATCTGTGGAGTTTTTCCTATTGTTTTATTTTTTACAAATGTCAATCTCCTTGTTTTGAGTCTGATTGTAAATTTTTCTGGGTAAGGACTTCTAAAAGGTTTCTCTCCCATGCATATTTTTGTAGTTTGTTAATGCATAAGCACTCACAGCAGTCATTCTTGAAGTCTGGGCCATTGAACAATCTTTTTCCTGTCTCATAGTTTAATGAAGCTTGTGGGTGCTTACCTGCCTGTAAGATCTCTGTCAAACTTGAAGTCAGCTGATGAGTTAAAGGCTGTTGAACACATGTACACATGGGCATGCACAGCACTATCATATAAGGCTTGTTTACATGCTTGTGAAATGACACACTGCTGTCCCAGACAATGACCATCTCGGAAGATATTTGGTGATTAAAGATGAACGCTGAGACTGCACGTACCTTCTCTATGCTAAGCTCTTAATTAATGCAGTAATATTTATTTTCCATTTGATCACTTTCAGTCTGATGCACCGGAACCGGTGAAGAGGCTATCCCCATTTAAAGAAACAGGAAAGGGGCTGAAGACTCTTGGTAAAGCTCTAGCTCATTCAAGGTAGGGGAATCCATAGCACACAGGAATGGGCCAATCAAGGCTGAAGGGATTTTTGGTTCTGCAGTTGGATTATAGGTGAAATAATCAACTGTACTAACAGCTTAGAGAATATGGTTTACAATTCTTCCTTTATAGGCTTTGTGTACTCAAAATGTTGTCAGTGCTTTATGAGGAATGATTGTTTGGTAGCTCTATGTCAGTACTAATTGTTTTAGTTTCTTTAGCTTTCTTTATAAAGGTGCTTGTTACTTCTTTGCAGTCTTGCATGACACAGTGTTGTGCCGAGATTAAGTAATCGATAAAATAGTCAAAAATGAGCCATGTTAGGACATAAAATGTCCATTGTGTGATGCAAAAATCGCAGTGAAAATATCTTCTGCTATTATAGGAATACCTGTATGGGTTCATTTGGAATATAGCAAGGAAGATGCTGAGATGGAAGGAATAGATTTTTGTGCCCCTTTTCTGATGAATAGTGAGCTGTTAGAATAGGACATGCATTTGGGATCCTTAAACCTTTTAGCCAGCTGAGTTTGGACAGCAACCATTACTGGTTTTATGGGACTGACCACAGAAGGTAGCTGGGTGTGCATGCTTTTCCCTAGAAAGTCTTCTATTGCCACTAGACACAATAACCTTCTGTCCCAGCAGGGCGTTTCTTATTGTCTTAAAAACAGAACAAAAACTAGGGAGGCCTATTGGAAATAGGCTTTAGCAAAGAGTACTCTCCCATTTAGGCACTCGTACTCTTAAATGTACTTAGGCTGTGTTGTCACACGTTTCACCATTGTCACTGCAGGTGGTGCTTAAGTTGACAAGATTGAGGCTTCAGTATGCTTTTCTGTTGCAATCACGCATTCTGATTGCACTCCAAACTTGCCTGCAGAGACCATTCACTCTATTTGCTCAGTATTAGCTTAAACAGTTGCTAAACTGCACAATAAGCCTTGCAGTAGGTGACTCTAGGGTTTTCTAAGTTTTCCTGAACCTCTGAGCTTTCCTGATGTAAGTGTTAGGCTAAGAAATGAGATTCATTTGAAACAGCAAGCAGTAGTACAAAAAGATGATTTACATCTGGCAAGGTTTAGTTACAGTGTGCTGCAAATAAAACTGACAAATTACTACTGCCAGCCCCAGCAGAGTACAGATGACACAAGTGTTTGCAAGGTTCCTAGATGTGAGGTCTCTGAAGAGCATTGACTAGATAAAAATAGTTGAATTAAAGCAAGCAGCCGTAAGATGGACATGTATAAAAACTTAATAATTGTTAAATTAAGCAAATATGGCAGTCAAGAGAGCACATGATATCATGTCAGCATAATATGTTGAAGACAAATTAGGCCACTGTCTTACGCTTTTAGGGATGTTAGTTACATAAATCTTACAATACCTAGCACTCGGGTATGTTCAAGCATTGTCATATTCAGCTCTGCAGGAGTGCTAGGTGGATAAATGATTACTCATAGGTAAATTATGGACATCAAGTTGGGGATGTAAGATTATCACTGGGACAGCTACAATTGGAACTCGGGTATCTCAGCTTAGAAGAATAAGTAAGGCATTTACTTGACTTAAGTGATGCCTCTGTTTCTCTGATTTTTATTTTTATTTTCACAATTGGTCTACTAAATTATAAGCTCCAGGGAAAGACTTCTTAAGTGATCGAGCCCATTACTCTGGTTGAGTGCAGTTGTTTCCTATAAGAGATAAATTGTTTAGTCTAGCCTACTTTTAACTGAAGATATTTGTTTCCTGCACCATGTTATGATAAATGCAGATTTGCCTTCTACTGATTTTTTTTTTAATGGTAAAGCAATCTGCAAAATTATGTTAAATGTAGATTTTTAGTGGTGTGAATAGATTTGATCCTAATGTGTTTTGATGTCATATCTTTTCTCTGAGTGATTAAAAACCCAGAAAGTTAGTCTTTCATCACTTCTCACCTCCAGAAGCCAGTACAGCTAAACTGCAGAGAAAAAGCTATTTTAGAAAAAAGAACCAGACTGGAAAATACAAGAAAGAAAGAAAGAAGAAAACTGGAGTCTTCTTCTCCAGGGCAGCAACTTTTTTAAAGCAGTCAGGCTAGCAGAGCATTGTGGTAATACATACTATAAGGAGTCAGTTAATACAAATGACCTTTTGTGGATTTGGTTTTTGCTGCTTTTCCTCCTTCTGATTGAAAAGGAACATGCAGCAGTTGTCTTAATTGGACGTTAATTGATACATATTCACAGGAAGTAATGCCTGTGATCTTGCAGTTTGTTTGTATGAAAGAGTATAATGGAACAAGCTGTGAGGAAGTTTTTTAATGATCACAGTGACATAGCACAGCAGTATGAATTTTAAAATTATCTCCAAAATGTTGGAAGAGTCATTACTGGAACAGACTTAGCTGCATTCATAAAGCTTTAATATTCAACATTAAAAGCATAATTAAACTGAAGATAAACCTTATAATTATGACCTCATGCCTCCTCTCAGTAATGTTCTCTTATATTTTGAGTCCTCATGATGATATGAAAGAGGATGATGACAGAATGCAGAGGTTGCTCAAACTACTCATCTTTCAAAGCTATCAGTTGCTATACCCAAGTAGAAGGTAGTACCAGCGCTTCCCTGCTGATGAGTTATAGCCACTTTAGGGAGACACCTGTCAGCTCTCGGATACCATTTCACCTAAGTAGCAGCATTAAAGTGTAGGGAGGAATTTGCTTATCTTTGTGCAGCATAAAATGAAAAACCATTTGGGAAATCTGTAGGTGATGATCATTCCTCTTCCTTTGTAGGTCAATACTTCTTCCTTCCAGTGGAGGTTGCCCATGTAGACACAAAGTAGCTCTGACTTACTTGACTAAGCGCTTCCCAATGTCAGATTCAATGGGTGGAATACAGTATGGCAGAAAAGGCACTTTTGTCCTTGAGCATTCAGATATCTTTAGCTTTGAGCTAAGAATTATGTTTTCATTTCTATCTCTATTCTTACTAAAACTAAACAAACTCGAGAAACACAGCCCCTTTGAAATGACATTCAGCTCTGAGGGAGATCCTTTCTTATTGCTTTGTTCTGATGACATCTGTAAATGGAATCCAGAAATATGTTAAGTAATCCACACTTGCATGATAATGTATTATATGAGAACTAAGAAAGCAGAAGTCATTCGTTATAAAGAATTGTAGAAAGATATAGGGAACAGTTCCAGAGCAAAAGGGATTACCAAAGTATTGGAAGTTTGTTAATCTGTAATAAAAGCAGATTGCCATAAATCACTTCTGTAGACTCAGCCCACCAAGACCATGCAAGTGTACTAGAAATACTCCTGTTAAACATCGTCACAAAAAGTAGTGCTTAGAAATAAGCATATTGCTTCAAATGAACCTAGCTGAAAATACTTTTTGTGTAAAAAGGAGGTAGGAAATGTGACAGAAGCTGGAAGCTGCGCAGCGCCAGTCATCTAAGCATAGATGCCCATTTAAAATGGCAAGTTGTGGTCCTCTTCGGCCAATGATGTCTAAGTAATTCACAGCTTTGATCTGCAAGCTCAAAGGGGAAGTGTCCATGCCATTCCCTGAGCCAGTCAAGCCTTTACTTGCAAAAAGGGCATGCGAAACCTCTGCATTGCATTTCCCATAGTTTGAAGAAAATAACTCCCATGCATCTGTTTCACTGTGCTGTGCTAGTTGAATAAAACTAAATGTCAAACTGCTGGCAGTTTAACAGTATTCAACTGGCTGCTTTTTATGTTTTAAATTAGAAACTGGATGGCTCTTTAAAATAGTTCAAGTTTCCTGAAGGCAGATCTCTAAAAGTCACCCTGCATGCAGAAAGTCCAGCCTCTACTAACGTGTTCTTTATGCCCCCAACAACAGTTAGACTGCTACCGAAATAAGTTTCTCCTTTTCTTGCTAGTGGCTGTGTAGCTGACTTTAACACAAAACCCGTTTAAATTTTGTGATTGAAATGGCAGCTACTACTGGAAGATTTATAATGGGAAGAAATGAGTTGTTTTCTGAGTTGTGGTTATGACCTTGTTTGTCCTTACCTGTGAATCTATACTGATGCTATTCTAATGTATGCAGGTAAAAGAGATGTTAATGTTTAGAGATTATGATAAGTTGGCATTCCTTAAAGCAATTGGGTTACTGGAAGATACAGTGGAGTCTGTAAGAGCAGGGAGGACAGGCAATGTAGAGTTAAGAAGCAAAGAAGAGACTGAGGCAGTACTAACTGAGAAGGTGAAATGTTTATCTGCCAATAATAGTTTCCAATGTGTTTAATACTTCATAATGTCAGTTGCTTGGAAACCAGTGTTTTGTGCCCTTTTGCTGCTTGGCAGAAATCATTCTAATTGGCATGTTTCTAGCACTGCTGGCAGTTTCCTGTCTTGTTTTTTTTTTTTCCCCAGGAGCAAAAATTTTCTTTTACATGAATGATGGCTCACATTAATTAGACAGCAGTCATGGGCAAAGACAACCATTTAAGCGTATGGATGTATGAATCATTATCTCTGTCATCAATCACTGGAAGGACTACTATTCCTGTCAACATTTCTGCCTTTCCAGGCTGTTCGTTTGAGTCTCAATCTCCTTTCCTTTTGTGCAGAAATGCTTATTTGTGTTTGAAATTTCCTGTCAATGGAAATAGTTCATTGCTTATTAGATTTTACTACCTATCTAAACACAACAGTCTAATCCCATGTATTATGATAAAAAATGACACATTGTCACTGAATGTTTGAACAAAGCTAACACTTAAAATGGGTTTTCCATTATTTAGTAGTAAAATGTCATTGCTCTGTAAATACCTTTACATGGTAAGGCAAGACTCTAGATTGTGAGGAGTGGTTTTTACTTTCACATGAAAATCTTGAACTAGCAGTATTTCCTGGTAGAGGCTCAGGGACCTCAGTGAAGTTTCACTTAACAAGCATTGAGTTTTTATCAGTAATATGAACATAAAGTTGTTACTGTGCATTCTTACAGCAAGAAAATAGAAAGCTCAG